TAGTACCGTCAACCTTAATTTAATTGATTTTTCTGTTAAATGTTTTTTTCCTCAGGGACAAATAATAGAAACATAACAGAAAAATGTGCATTGCCTTGTAGAACTTGATTTGTAATTTCCTTGTCAGCTTGAAGTGTTTTATTTAGTAATTTCTTTAGTTATTGAATGTAGACTAACCAGAGATTATATTTATTATGACAGTCAACATACTTTGTCTGTTAACTATTAGAAATGATAAAATACTGGAATCAAGTTTCAATACTAATAAAGTCTATGGCTGTTACGAAATTAAATGTGTGTACATGGATCAAACTCTTACAACTTTATAATATTTTCACTTTTCTTGATACCCATCTCCAGATATAAATCCTAGGTATTTTCTGAACTTTGTTACATCAAAGATATTAAAGATATAAAACTTACAAATGGCCTGTAATTTAGCTTTCACTAGACAGAGAGGATTAAGAAACAAAGGTGAATACGATCAGTGCTCCATTTTGATATTGAAATGATATTACTACAACTAAATGAATAATAGACAGTGATACATTTTAAATAAAAATGTCTAACATTAGGTTCCATAAAATCAAACATTTACAAAGGACTCACTATAGACTAGAACTCTTACAGATATTATCTGTTATATTATTATCTCGTAAACTCAGCTTAAAAAATCTCGTAATCTAAGTGTACATTATACTCAATAATGAGGTTACTGTATATTTTACGGATATTTGCTTTATTTTAAAAAATTATATGATTAAGTAACAGGTGGTTAGATAAAGACTTTGTTACATAGAAAAATATTCAGAAAATAGAATGAACGATAAAGTACACATTTACCAAGTAAATATTAAAATGAAACATTGGGTCTCTCCAATCAGTATATGATAAACATATCGTAGTTTGTGTAAACAATTATGGAAAATACAGTAAAATATACGGGGTAATTTCTTGTTATTTCACACCAATTAACAAATCTATAAACGAAATTTGGCTAACATCCAGAAAAGAGACGTGTGAAGCATGAAAAACTTAGTTATCAGTTTGCCATAATAAGAATTCAAACATTGGCGTTGAATACTGATTGCCTATTTCTGTAGACTAACAACAACTCATTTAAATCCGAATGACTTAATTGATGGGATATTACATTTTTTACTTCTACAATAAATAAAACCATACAACACTAAATGAAACAAGGAATGCGGTTAAACTAAAAAATTATTGTTGTATTATAGCAAAGTGAATACATCAGTTCGTTCACTTAATTTTGTAACATAGTAAATAAGAATTAAATAGATAGTGATAACATCCTAAGTTAATTACCGAGTGTTTGTATCCTACAATCATTTGATGGTTAAGGAAGCATATTTGGAAGTATTTTCGAGAGCGCATAAAAGACATAATTTGAACCACCATCTGGAAAGAAAGAAATTTAAAAATCAAGTACTTTATATTACTTCCTTTCCACTGAAATTATATCTTTGGACAGAAAATGCTCATTACAATCAAAGTTCTAATAGCTTGGATAATTAAAGTGAATATTAAAAACCCTCTTCGTGAAACAAAAAGCATAATATTAAGAAAAGATGGACGGTCTCTAGCAGTGTATTCCGTGATAAGTGTTCTGTCTCATTTGGAACTCATCAGCTGATTGTACCTAAGGCAATATAGAGACAATCCACTTAGTAGACTGAGCGATTGCAGCCCTAAACAAAAATGTGAAGATTCAAACAAACAATACAAAGCTGTAGTAAGACATGATATTGTTTTTAATTAAACTATCAGGCTTTACTAGATGTAGATCATCGTATTTTATATTAGCCTAGTAAACCACCCACTGGGTATACATCAAGGGATGAAAGAGTTATCCCCTATTGTCATCATCAACAGCGAAAAAATCGATAGTACATATGTAAAATCTAATTGAAGCAGTGCTAGATGAAACAGTTATTCGCAATAGCAATCTGCCTTATGCTTAATGCAATCATAAAGCTGCCAGTTTATATGACTTGGTTTAAACTTCATTTGCTTTACAGGGTACAGTTATGTTTTTTAATGCTTAGCAAGACAAACCGACAAATCGATTACAGTAGAAAATAAAAAACAATATAGGAGTTTAGTGACACTGTATCTGACTTCAGTTTGGTCGTGTGATTATCGTTATCGACTTATACATATCTCCACTCCTTGTATATAACCATAGAATTAAATAGGTCAAATACGAGAATGGATATCGAATACGTAAACTTCATGCAATCATTGATTGAGAAAAACGATCGGAGAAGCGAAGCGAAGTAACGCACGGTGAAGAAGGCATGTGAACAAACTCATTTTGACCAAGCGTGGATCGATATTTATAGTCAAATATAAAATATACTACAGACATGTGATAAGTAAGGTGAGAAATGCACTATAGTACACTCACTTAAAGCAATCAAGGTTGATAAGCTAATAACTAACAGGGTCATAATGCGACTCAAGAAGAACGAATAAACTGGCCTGTCCGGAAGCTAGAATAAACTGTGTGGGCTTAACATAGAAACTGACGTGTTGTGCTTCTCCACGAGGAGTAACAGGCGTAAATAAGTATTGTTTAATTGTTAAGTAATTACACATGATATTGTTTACTTAAATCCTCCCATTAATGTTTGGGACTGCAAATGATCAGATACATACAGCATCCAATTCCCGAATAGGACGAAACGTGCGCCCTGGATTCCACTGCCAGCCGCTATCCATCTTTGCTTATTAAGTTACCAGATTATATATATTTATACTTCCTTTATTATAAGTTTTTATTTGATCTATTGACTACTATTATACGATTTATTATGTTTTAGTTATTCCTAATGTATTAGCTACGGTTTGATTTGCTTGTATACAAACTACTTATGTCTGAAATATACGATTCTTGCAGTGGAAGCTGAGATTGTGTTCTGGACTCAAACGGACAGAACTAGGAGGGAAGAACTAATAAGAACTTAGATTCGATTCCAGTCTGCTCTTACTGGTTAACGCATCATTGGTTTAGTATAGTAACAAGGTCATATAAGTCGTGTTCTAATTAGAGATTTAGACACGTCATAATTAACAGGCCAAAAATCACAACAATTTTACCTCAATTCAATCATCACTAAAAATCGGAAATATTGAACAACTATATGGTTTTATTCTTGGATTTATTAACTTCAATCACTCATGACGCTATCTCCAAAACAAACTCCTACAACCGATAGTCCCTCTACTTACAACCCCAAACCCATATAGAAAACAAAATCTTCAAAGGCATTTCCATCTGAAAAATAATTAATTATTGATACACGTTTGATAATTTGATTTCAATTTTTCATATCCTAAAAAATAAACAAAGTTCATTACAGTTGTAACCGGAGATCATTTGTAAATGAGATCGAGTATAAGTGGTCTCTAGTGAAGGGAGTTAAGAATATGTAGATATTTTGATTGTATAATAAATCTCATTGTTTTTTCTTTTTTAAAAAAATACAAAGACCAAAATTGGGTAAATGAGTAAAACAATAATTTTCATTTAAAAAAAACAAAACAAAATACCTAAAGCATTGAGACCGGGATCGAAAAACAAGACAAGCCTATTATCTGATAAATATCAGGTTTAATAAGTGATCACATAGGCATTTGATGTTGTCACTCGAAACCTCAGGGGGCTATTATTACATAACTGTCGTTATTATGCTGAATATAATACTTTCTGAACGCCTAACGATATATTAATTATGATTATTCATTTAATAAGATACTACTTTCCTTAGGGGACAAGCGAAGACCAGAGTCACTTGACAGTACTTTTTGTTCTTGTTTAGAACGTATAAACAGTGCTAACCAACAACCATGCTAGAGATCGAACCCAGAACTTTCTCAGTGATACAACTATAAGCAATGTAGAACCTAGCACATATACGAATCAATTTGAGTTGCTACACCATATCCGTACAACGAGATGCAGTTACCAAGAAAAGTTCAGGAGTAGTGTAAGTATCGACGTTATGAGTGGTAATAGAAAGTATCAAGTGGTTTACCTCTAGACAACTAAGTACAACTTTAATTTGTATAACCACACCAATTTTCATCCGTAATAGCTTTCTCGCTTTCGAAATTATTCGATTTTGTTGCCGGCATCATCGTGATTGAGAACAGATGAGGAGTCTCAAATTGTAACTAACGAGTAATTTAGTACCCCTTGGTTTTCAATACTTCACAAGTTGGTATCATTCTCTAGCAATATAACCAAACGATATAATCACACTAAATTAATCTTTATAACCTACTCAAATTTACAAAATCTGCTACTTCATAAACATTTATATTTAAGAAAGTGTGCTTATTGGTTTCAAGTCTAAATAAAATTTATTGATCTATGTTAAGCATTCTATTTGTAACCATGCTAGTGAAAATTATTTTATGCACTATATAAACGTGAACATCATGTGATACTTTCGATGAACCAGATGATTTTACTTTCATATGTATGTCTGTGTGCATAGATCATTCTATCAAATGTGTGTTTTTACACTAAATTGTATAAAACATATTGGTAGGCTTGATTTCACGTTTCGAAAAGTTATGTATATTAAATAATATTTTGTGTATTAGTGAATAAACAATAAAGATTTCGTAATGTTTATTTTATTTATTAAAGAAGCAATCATATTTGGAATTAAAACTTGAAGTATTGTCAATTTAAATTGTTGTTGTATCATAAAACACTTCACTGTGTATCATAATCATATGTGTATGCGTCTTTCTGATGTATATAAATACAATGGTAGAAATGAAAGGAAAATTTATAAATTCAATCGGTCCATTTGATATTTGTCAAAAATTACATCAACAGCAAAGGTTAGTTATTCATTCCTTTTTTAGGAATAAATCAGATGATTCCCTTTTTCAACCTATCAATAAAAGTTAAATAAATTTAAATTAGTGACTGAAAATATTTTTTTTTATGTTGACAGTCGGTGCTTTCTTTTAATTTTCAGACAAGGAACGATGAGACTATAATTTATGAACGGTCTTTGAGCGGTGCCAAAATGACCTTGAGCATATCTATCCACCAATTAGGATCAAATGCGGGTTATGTAATAGTTTGAAGAATAAGTATTATGATTTAAATTTGATGGTTAGGGTTAGAAATTAGATTTAGGGTTTTCATCAAGAATTGACATAAGCTAAAATACCAAAACGCTATTTGGCCAAACGGCTGAATGAATTTCGTACCAAAATCCAAGATCTGTTATCCTAAATCTGATTGGTTCGTTCATAAATTATAGTCTCACCCAAGTGACTTACTTAAAGTGAGTTTTTTCTACAATACACTATTTAGTACTAAAGAATAACAAAGTTAATGACATGTATAAAAGAACTGGTTTACCGTGGATGTACCGAGGCTTTTATCCAAGAGATTATTACATGTATGTTTGATGTTGAAGATAGAATATTTTACTAAACAATCTTTAGATTTTTTTCAATCTCATCTAGAATAAAGTAAACCTGCAAATTCAAATATCTTAATGCATTATGAATTTAATTGGTATTTATTCCAGTTTTTAAATTTTTGAAGATGTGTATTTACTTTCGTTAAAAAATCTTTAAGGATCTCTTTTTATTCTACTGACACGCAAATGAATACACTAGTTAATAAAGACTGATAATATTTTCATTTTACCCATCAATATGCTCCGTTCAAGATTGATTAACACTACCGTTATCAAAAAGGGGTAATATAACATTTCTATATAAAGGTGTTTGTTTAAAATTTAACATAACTACCAATCAATCATGGTCGCAATATTTACAGATATATCAATTGATAAATTTTAACAGAATCATCTTCATTTACATTAAATCCAACTCAATGATGAGGTATCAATAAAATAAAGACAGTCAGAATTAATATATAACTAAAATTACTCAGTGACTTATTGATTTTTTATCAGAGCTGTTATTTGATCTCTTATATATTTCAGTCTTCACGATGTGGTGATGGTGAGGATAGATTTGTGCATCAACTGACATCGGTCCGTTTTAATTTTTACCTTAATTTTGTGTTGTTGTTGTTTAGGACTGAAAATGACCAGTCTCTTATCGGCATATATGTATCCTATACGGATTGCCTCGATATTGCCTTAAGTCACGAGTTTTATAAGAAAGATAGATGCTGTCTAGCAGTAGAATCCTTGACGCGTGTTTCTTCCTACTTCGGACTCGTCAGCTGGATGTGCCTGCATTCCGGAGTTGAAGCAAACAGTACTGTGTTCGAATCCCGGAGTGAACATCAACTCTGAGATGTAGGTAGATCCAGATGATAAGTTCAAAATAGTACGAAACGTGAGTCCCGGATTCCACTGCTAGCCGTCATCCATTTTTGTTTATAAAGAATAATATAATGTTTAAAATAAAAAATTTTAATTACTTCAACAACACTCTATGATATTATGTTTATCGAGTAAAATCATTCTCATTATCTGAACTCTATTACATTGAAATCTTAAATTCTGAAAAATCTTATTCTAAGGTGAAATATACTCAAATAATACTTTTTATCTATAAATTAATTTTGACTTTTCTATTTTCTTAAATAATTTCATAAAATGGAAACTGATTTCACCTTAATGTGCTAATCAATATCTGATTCTCTTTCAGAATCATTGATTGTAAAATGAATAACACTGAGATGAGAAATAAGAATTTATCATTGAGTATACGCATGCCATTTAAGTATATATATATATATATATATATATATATATATATATATATATATATATATATTTCTGGTACTGATTTTATATCTCAGTATATCACGATATTTTTTAACCAATTCGCTATAATAAAATGTTATTAATATGATCATATGTACAGTTATTCTTTGTTTTACCTTTTTAGAACTAAATTAAATGATTGTGGTTTTTTATTAGAATGTGAATCACATAGTCAAATAGTGCATAAATGTGTATTACGTGCTGTCTCAACAAAAATTGATCAATTTTGTATGGTGGAAGAAAATGTAGAATGTTCGACAAATAATATTAATATAAATTGTTATGATAACAATAATAATAATAATCACGTTAGTAACACAGTAAAACAATCAAAGAATTCATTTTATTTAGGTCGTATATCTGAGAAAACATTGGATACTTTTGTAAAATATATTTATCAATCAGGTTTGTCTGGTTTTTTTCTCATTGATAATAATTATTGATTATTATGAAAAACATAAGCACTGCCAATTAATAAAATGTATTAAAAATGTTCTTCTGTATAGGCAGAATGTGACTTAGTTTTTTTTAATTGTAAAGACTATGATGATGTAATAAGTTAATGTATTCAAGACACAATTTTAAGTTATTAGACTGTCTTTAATAGCTTAGATGTGTTTTATAATGAGTTAGTTATTCATGTGATATTTTAAAGGATTTACCAAGTTTCTAAGTGACAGAGGTATCGATTCAAATGAATAATCAATATGATGATTCTTTTCATTTGACAACAAAATTCATTACATTTGGGCTTAGTTAAAAGAAATCCAAGATTCTAGTGGTTGATTTTTTTATTCACAGTGAAAACAATTTGAATGAAATTGTAGGATAAGTTCCTCTTCAATGTTTTTCATCATATTACTGTCCGGAAATTCATAAGGTAACTTCATTACTTTTTAGGTCATGATTTTAGATATAATTCCGAAATGCTCTGTAGCTATAACAACAGTTAAAATAACTGTCTACCATTCTATTTTTAGCAATGGTAATTTGACATCAGTTCTCTGAAGAATGTAGATATGTTTTACTGACTAGTACTAAATAGTATTAACCATAAATACAGAGATTTCTATTGAGTACCTAGTATCAAATAAAGTAAAGAGTAACATAATTTCATTTACTTTAGCGGCTACATTGCAACATAATGGTGATGGAATTTTATCAGCACTCAGGACAAGACAAACTCCAGCTATTATTAAATATACAATAAGTATGAACTTTGACTTTATAATTGTCTTTTTTAAAAACGATTGCGACTAAATTTGCCAGTATAATGTTTCATTTGGTTATATTATTGATAAAATAATAATGGAAAGTGGTAAATTTAGCTAATCTGTGTTATACTTACTTTTAAGGAATTCCAATATAGAAAGTGTACAGGCTACCTGAGATCATTGAATGTTCATTTTATGAAATGTAATCCACATTAGCCAGATATTTATTTACGATACTACCTTCTTATGACAATCAGATGCTATTCGACTCATCTATGGAAGTCTGTAGAATTTATCTTCTTCAGATGTCTTATGTCTTTTCGTCATCTCACTCCCTCTGTGTCACTCTCTACATGACAGTTTTGTGATCCAGAAATAAAGAAACATTATCATAAGATGCTAAATCTGATGAATAGAGATTTTACGAAATGAGGTTTTCAGTTTCTCAATTCCAGCATTTATTGGACATAATACGACACAACTTTGAATTACTATTAGTTGAAAAAAACGGGGAAACGTCGTTATATTGTTACAAAATGTTATCCATTTAAGTACAATGTGATTTATCTTTTGTTTAATGATGTTTACAAATAAAAATCTATTATCTCACTTGATGTATTTTTATTGAAAAAATTAATAATTCACTTCATAACTTTGATTTAATTAAACAGATATTAAAATATAATACGAGATGTTGATCTAATATGCTTATTTGAGTGACATATTATTTGTAAACCGACTACTCAAGTCGTCAATCTCATTAGTTACATAGTTCACAAATCAAATGTTAGCTAGAAAATAGGTAGATGGATTTTAACTTTTACATCTGTAATATGAGCTATAAACAGATTTCTTGATAGAAACATAGATCACATATGCTGTAAGCAGGAAAAAGAGAACAGACAAAACATTTTAGCTAGTTCATTGATATAATTACTACTGTTAACAAGATCAACGGAACTGTGTAGCTGCATAATTTTTGAAAGAAGATTAATAATTCTGGCCTTATGAGGACACCTTAAAATGAGTATTTTATTTTTAAAGGATTGTTTCATATTCCAGGAGTATAAGTGTTTTTGTGGTTATTGTTGGTATTACTACTGAGAGAATCTTTAGATATTTCCAAACTTCTGTTTCCATTGAAATTGTTCAACATATTCGTTTGTGAACACATTACATTTAACATAAACGAACACCGCAAGTATATATATTTATAGTCAGTTGACCCCCTTAAAAAACTTAGTGATTCATGATTTCTTTTTCAAAACAATTATAACACACTTGATCTTGTATTATGGTGTTGAAAAAGTTCTACCTAGTGGATTACTATTTCACTCTAGGGTAGAGGTACACGGATCTAGATGTGCTGTTTTTTTATTGGTAGTCATATTAGTTTAGTGCGATGTAAGTGATATGTAAATTTTCTGATAGAGTATTATTCTGTGTAATTTCCATTGATATCGGTTCTTACAGTTTTCATATTGCTTTTTCTGTGTATGTGTTAAAACATCATGTTTGATTATTAACTAGTTCAACCGAAGATTATGAAAAAATCGTAAAACACAATCTTGCATTTACTTGGTGTTTTTTACTTGTATCTTCCCTGGTACATCCAGCTGAAGAGTCCATCCTGTATTCCACTGCAAGCTACTATCCATCTTCATAATCTTACATGTTCAAAAACTAGTTATTCTGAAGAAAAAATGCAACCACGAAAAGTTATTTCCTTAGGCTTTCCATATTCCTGAATAATCTCAACTGAAATAACGTTGAAAATCAGTAGTAAAAGACTTTCCCTTGATAAAATTTGAATAAATTCTATACTTCTCTTTAATATATTTCAATTGTTTACGCTGATACTTCTTTACATTTTTAAATATATTCCATTATGCAGAGATTACAATTGATGATATAACTGTAATTGAATTGTACAATGTTGGTGTTCTATTAAACATACAATTTATTCAAGATGCATGTATTAACTATTTGAAAACAAGTTTAAATGAAAATAATTGTTTAATATTCATGAGACAAAATAATAACATAAATAATTGTGAAGCGAATCAATTAACTAATGAATGTATTAAACATGCAGCAAAACATTTTGAGTAAGTGTACAAGTAAACTTAGATAATATGAAACATTAACTATTCATGTAAAATGTTATGAATAGTAAGATTATAATTTATGGACAAACCAATCATGTATAAGATAATAGGTCTCGGATTTCGGTGTGAAATTCACTCATCCATTTGGATAAATAAAGTTTTGACATTATAGCTGATGTCAGTTTGTGATGAAAAACCCTAAATCTAATTTCTAACTTTAATCATCAAATGTAAATCATAATTCTAATTCCTCACACAAGTTTATAACCCTCATTTAGTAGCGGACACTCTCAAGGTCAGTCTAGTGTCACTCAAAGGTCTTTCATAAATTATAGTCTCACCAAATATTGGAAAGTATATCAATTTTGAAAATAATAAACTCTTAGTGTATATGTTATTAGACCAGATAATCTCGTAATTTGATAAATAAGGCTCCTCGAATTGTTAGAAACAAATAGAACAAATAATAGTGAGTAAGAACAAGATAGAAAACATTAAGTCTATCACTGTATCATTTGACTGACTATTACCTTAACACAGTAATTAAACAGCTTAATTTTCTGTTCTAGCAAGCTGTTGACTGAATTCGGTAAAATATCTTGGGATATAAAATATCGTAGAAGCGTGAAGTAAAACGGTGCTTGGCTGTTTTATGTTAAAAAATACAGGTATTAAGCACTTTACTATAGAGTAATTACTTCTTGAATTTTTATAAAAAATGCTAACTCTGCGCAGTAATAATTAACAAATTATGTGCTAGCCATCGGACATTGGTTCACTGATTTAAATGTTAATTTATCATATTGAGCCACGAAGAAAGTGTATTGGACCCCTAATATGGTAGTGGATATGTGTTGACGTGGAGTCCGATACCAGGAATCAATGGTTATCTAGTGCTGTTAACCTTAGTAATTGGCTACTGAAAATCAGTTTGTGATGTAAACTAAAATATATTGGGTGGTAACTACGTAGATAGGTTGAAGATATATTCCCTAAATACTATAATACTATGTATTGAAATAAAAAACGTCATGAGCCATGAAGCATTAAGAGACAGGATCGAACTATTTAATTGTTTGGAGGTAAACCCTTATCACTGACTGATGTTAGCCAATAAATGCCAAGAAATATAGAAAACATTTTACTTTAATTTTGGTACATCTCTACAGTGAACATTCATAAATTCATAAGTATTGTAACCGGAATACTTTTAGGTTTGCTGATGAATATAGTAACTTTAGATCATTTCGCTTGAGATAGCTGAGTTATGTTTCAACCTCGATGAATTTACGATACTCTATGACGATCATTCATTATTATTGATGAGATCAGTCTTAATCATGATGTAGTTAACCTTCAAAAATTAATAAATGATAAAATTTACAGTTAATTTCTAAATAATGTGCGTAAATCAACAATTACTTATTACTTACTGGTCCTATAAAAACAAATAAAACTTGAGAAAATATGTAAATTAAGCGAAAAGAAAAAAAACAAGTGAAAAACACTATTGATTTTTATGATATTTTATTTTCATAATTTGTGATACTGAGTTTACTCTGTCAATCAGCCATTCGTTATATGGAGGTTAACTGATACCTCAATCAATAGTTTGTATTTAATTAAAAAGAGAGTATAATTTTGACCATATTCATTATAATGTTATTTATTTTAATGTAGAATTTTTGCTGAATTCAAATGAGTGTGTAGTCACATATTTGATTTCTATGTTTATAGTAAAAACATGTCTGAAGTCTACAATTCGTGTGTCTAGTTAGCAGATATATGTATAACGCTGGATTATGTAAGAAATACAGACAATGAATAGGCGTATAATAAATTCTTGTACTATGTTGTATAATTCAGATGATAATGAATAACACAAGATTATGAGCGAAGGAAGGAGTATAGAACTAACTTGTTAAATATTAGAAGGGGTTTTGTGGATATCATAGTATATTATTATTATAGTTTAGATCATGAGTTAATTGAAGCTAGACCACCATGGAAAACCTGGAGGCACTGGACGGCTATTTCGTCCTACTGTGGGACTCCTCAGCAGAGCGCATCCACGATCAAATTATAATGTTAATAAAGTGATATTATTAAAAAGTTCTTATCATAATAACCAAAGGCATTGGAAGGATTGAAAAACAATCGTATTGGATATGGCTATTAATAAAATTTAAACGGATAACAGCAGATGGATACACTTTTAAGTATACACATAGTAAAATGAAAATAATCATAGGGTAAGGCTATATTAAAGACAAGTTCAAAATAAATTTCTTTTATACATCAATGTTCAGACATGTTTTGATGTTTATCTAAAGTTTCTGTTACTTAACAAAGTAAGTAGATTTGGACGAATTCTATAAATAGGCTAGTTGAGTAGTTAGTTGTAGTCAAGGGTGAAACTTTTAACCGCTCACTTCTCATTTATTATAAAAAGCAAGCTGAAATCTATTGACAAATTCGTGTTGAATCATAATATTCTAATATTTTCTTCAGGTTAATTCATAAAGTTGCATCATTCTGTCAAACATTTTTATTTGACTAAAAATAAATCATTATGCTACTGAGAAATAAAGCTCAATTACTTTAGTCTACTTATATAACAAAATAAGTTTTTACATTTCATCGTAGACTGTTTGCATAAAGGTTTTGGCTTTTTATGAAGTGTTCTTTAAAACAAAACATTTCTACGTAAAATTATTTACCTTCATCGTATTCGCTGCCTCATTTCTTTCTTTCTTTTTCCTTTTTTCTTTGGAGCAAAATGTTAGATAATAATGAGACTATGAACATTGAACCTAAAGAACTATTAGCAATACTAGAACAAGATGAGTTCAAAGTTCAAGATGAATGGAAACTTCTGGAATTTATACATATATGGATTAAAAAAGATTGTGGTAATCGTCACACATATAAAGAACAACTATGTGAGCATATACGTTTTCAATTGATAGACACAATCAAGTTACTTGATATATTAGAAAATCAAGAGATGACTATATTTCATTCATATGTAAAGAACGCGCTTATTGATTTAGGTCAATTATCAAGGTCAGTAGCAATAGCTAAATGGAATCGTAAAGTAAGTTAGTGAGACAAAATTATCAATGTGCATTTTATACGTCTTGCAATATTCAACTAGTTTTTCTTTTTGAATAAGCAATATTAAGAAAATGTTTATATTTCAGTAGAGTTGGCATTTTTGTACAGTATCTCAGTGCTATCAGATATATATGATAACCAAGATTGCATAATATTCATTTAAGTAAATTGTTTTTATATAGTAAGCTGTTCATTGCTATTATGGAGAATTCATTAGCCACAAAATTATTTATTTAAACAATGTTAGCAAAGCACTTCAAATGTGAAAATTTTATCAAAGTTTATTTGTAAGTTCCTATGAGTTAGGAACAGTGTAGTGTAATAAACGTTGTGATCAAAATACTACCAAGATTTTAAAAGGCACTTTCCATGAGAAATAAAAATACCACTAAAGAGTTCTATACTAAGACGAAATAGAAGTCCAATGTTCCTTGTTTTCAATTGGTTGTCTAACTAAAGTCAGAATTTAGTATTAAACTATAAAAACTCACTAATCTTTAAGATTTTAAATATTAATGAGGCTAATTATATTTTCTAATACTATCGTTGAAAAAAGTTTTTCATCTCATAAGTTTAATTGTTTTGTAATTAAATCAGGACTTTGACGTTTAACGGCCAGTCTTACATCATTCATCCAGTGAAGTGTTATCCGTTGGTTCAAATATATTGTAGTAATTAGTCAGGTTTGAAGTGGACCAGCTATCCACCTATCATATTGGTTGAGAAGCTCATTGTATCACGAATTATCAGAAGATGAAAATTGTAAACTACTCGATACTAACTAGTTAATTCTGTAAGTCTGAGTCTATGTAAGGTTATGAGTATTCATTTTTAAATGGTCATAAACTAGGGTGAAACTACTGTTCAATGTAATCATTAAGCAAACGAAATATACCCGTTGAGACGTGAAATAGGAAAGATTGATTCAGAGAAGAGTTCTGTTCTCGGAGAATTCGTGTTCAAAAGCAGTACAATCGTAAATATATACATCTGTTTCAAAATGATAATAATTACAGTAATAGTGATTATAAAATTCTATTGAACATGGTAACAGTGAGGTAGGATAAACAAAAGTAATATAACGTTCTTTTTACCAACGAAACCAATAATAGTTTTGTTGTTTAGTGCTTGAATATTATCATGAAGATAAATAAGGAAATTGTAACTGAGAAGGGAAGGCTCAGTATGACAAGATAAACTTGAAATTGTGATGAATTGTAATCAGGAGAATTATTGAAACAGAAATAACCTAGTTGGGAATAAAAGGTCTATAGAGACCTCTTTAACATTTTAACACATTTGTTTATTCTACCTCACTGTTACCATGTTTAATAGAGTTTTATAACCACTATTACTGTAACTATTATTATTTTGAAACAGATGTATATATTTACGATTGTACTGCTTTTGAACACGAATTCTCCAAGAAGAGAACTCTTTACAGAACCAATCTTTCTTATGTCTTAATATTATGTTACTAAAAGGTCTTCAGATGATGTTACTTTAACATGAAAAGTAAATTTAATTAATATGAAATCTATTTAAGTAAGAATCTACATAGATACATATGAATAACTTGTGATATAATTTACGTTATATATATTTTTCAGTCAAATCATTCTATAGACAAAGAGTTTACATTGACTAATTTATCAGTATGCAATTTGAAAAGTGACTCACCAAAACAAACCACAGAAAACGTAAGTCATTTTTAGTACATTTTAACATTCTAATAATGATCAAACCACTTTGATTTTTATTTTAATATTCAATGTATTTAAGGCATTTACTTCCAATTTACTTATTCTATTTAATATTATTGTTTAACGAAGTTTTGTTTAAATATGTGATAACTTATTATAGGGTTAATAAATGAACGTTAATCAAACCAACTGATTCGTTGTTTTTCCAATTATGTTCTTAGGAATATAACATAGTTGTTAGACTTTAACAATGATTAACAATTGTCAATAGATGTATTCCCGGAGTAACTGACTATAACTCAATAAAATCGAGTAATCAAACATTTTAATTCATGACTTATAAAGTATTCAATTCTACATTGATAAGATCGTTATGACCAAGACATAAATGAATCCATCTGTCATTACAAGACGTTTATTATGCAATTAAATAAATAAATTGAAATTTAGTTGGATTTCGATAAGAATTCGTTAGAAAATAAACGGAACTGTTAGAAATGCGTTAATTTCAAAATGTGCTTTGTGGACGAAATAATATTGAATTATGATCGTTACAAATTAGTACAAAGGAAAGAATCTTAAAATAGGCACTTTTGATGTGATATAGAATAACAATTAGGGCTTCACAATTAGTAATTATAATATATTTCCGACAAAGCGGGTACACACCAGTTCCTGATAAGTGTTTACAGATAGGGGGGATGCTTATCAGAGTTGTTAAAATGTACCATTCACAAATCAGCACTGATTTATAGCATAGTGTTCAAGGAGATTTACTTGAAAGTTATCTGTGTGGTAGAAATGTTTGATAAGTTTACAGTTATTATTAAAGTAATGATTGAAAGGAACTTAGTATAATTTGTGACCATGAAGAACACGTACGTAAGGTTTGCGTATTAGGCGTAAGAATCTCCATAGCTGTGCAGTACAAATGAGGCATTGAAAAGAAGAGAATAAAGAGCATCAAGTCTATTGGATACAAGACCTTAACAATTCTTAATCATTTGAAGTATGGTAAAAGTCATTCAATTTGAAGGACTCAACACCATCATCATCATGGTGTTCAATTGAGAATCTTATCGAGACACCTTAATTTGTTCAATTTTCGGTAGATAATTGTCAACAGTATTCTGCATTAATGGTTATTTCTTTTCAATGGTTCAAATCATGAGGCAGTTGAAGCTAGACCGTCATGGAAAACCTGGAAGCCCTGGATGTCCGTTTCACTTTATTGTTTTCCGTGGTGGTCTAGCTTCAACTGACTCATGATCTCAACCATTGATATTACTATAATATCCACAAAACCCCTTTTGATGTTATCTTTTTTAAAAAAAAACAATATTTCTTGTTACTTCAGATGTCTTTGATATGCTTTGGAGGACGATTATGTAACAAAAGTTTTTCATCAAATATAACATGTTATAAAATGTTTGAATTAAAATCATTTATTAATCAGAATGAAAATTTATGCATGGATCCATATCAAAATTGTAATGTTGATGAAAATTATTCAAATAATAATTACATAGAATCATGTACATTTCCTTATTTAAAACAAATAATTTTACCAAATTTAAAAACTATGCCTTCTTTAAGAAAAGGTTTTGGGGCTATCAGTTTAAATGATAAAATATATCTTGTTGGTGGAAAACCTAAATGTTCAATGAAAACATCTAATATTTACGATATTTCATTAGGTTTATGGTCTAGTGGGCCAAATTTAAATACCGGACGAAGTTGGTATTCACTTACAGAAAGTGATGGTGTAATATATGCTATAGGAGGTGTCGGAGAAGACGGTAAGCGTGTTTATTTTTTAAAAAATAATTTAAGTGTATAAGGATGTATGTAGTTGTTAAGATTAACGTTGTAGGTTTCTGAATATTACCTAACGATTTGAGTATCAAAAAGGTATTATTAATAGACATGGGTGATGTCCGAACAATGTTTTGAATTCAATTAAGTTTGAAGCATAAAACGCTAGGTACAGACTCCGTAGTATAGAAGTAACATGATCTCTGCAGGGCCTGAACGTCCTAGATTTGATTCAATATGGGGTCTTGTGTGCAAACTGGTGAGAAGTTTTAAACTAAGAAGAAACTACTGTTCATTTTCTCATGATTCGATATGACTGTCTAGCTAAAATCAATCTGTAGTATGACTTACAAGTGTTGTTCAGTTGGGTCACAGTACATTTCTGAACCACCGTTTTAAATTGACCAGTTGAGTACAATCCTGATTAGAAATTCAAAACGCTTATTGTCAGCATTTTGATTAATTTGTTTTATTTTATCTTTACAGATCAAACTTTATCATTTGTTGAGATGTTGGACCCACGAGTAAATAAGTGGGAATCATGTTCGTCAATGTTGAGACCACGATTTGGTTGTAGCGTTTGTTCTACCAACAATGAAATTATAGTTGTTGGTGGGGTCAGCGATTCAACTATCGAGATGTATAATATTACGTCAGGAAAATGGCAGTTTTTAGCAAAAATGACTGAAGTGTAAGTATTCACGATCATTTTGTTAACACAAATCTTATTATGCCAAAGTAAGATGAACCAAGTTTTTTCAAATTGTTTCATTGTGGGTGTATTGCAGTAGATCTTTGAAGTGTCAGCTTGCTTTATTTTTTTATTCGTCATATTGTTTTTCGGGTTGTTTTTAGTGGTAAGTTAAAGCTGGAGAACGCTTGAAGTCTATAACGATACCAGCCGCCAAACTACTAAAAACATGAGAGCAGAAAACTCCTGAAAATTACATGCATCTGAATCAGAATTCTAAAATTTATTCCCAACTCTGTAAGGTCGAACCCGATGCACAATATTTTGATTCTAGTCAATTAGTCGCATAGTGCTAGTTATAGTGATGGAGACAGTTGTTTTACTCCAGACTTGGTTGGACCCCATCAGTCAAGCTTTCTTTTTAGAACGTCTAAAGCTCCAATGTGTCCAGAGTTAGGAAATCACCTACCATAGTTCATTGTTATATTTAAGGGTCACCATTTTCTCACTTTTAATTTTCAGGAATACATCTTACCGGTATCTATTAACACGTGGGCTTGGTGTGTAGATACAAAGATGTTGCTTATAGCCATAAATTTATTTCAATCTGGAAAGTTATTTGTAATGAAATATACTAACACAGTAATGCTAACAATCTTTCCCGAGTTTTATAATGAAACCTAAAAGTCATAACCCCAAACCTGATTGCTTCAACAATGTAATATATTTTGATTATGGTGGTGCAGAATAAATTCCCATTAACTATGTTGTGTATATTCATTTGATGAAGAATGAAAGTTATTACAAATCATCGTTTTTCACTATAAATTAATCATTTACTGTAGTTTAATGTCATATTTTACCGTTTTAAATGTGAGATAGTCATTATTCTTCTAAGTTGAAATTCACTTTACATCAAACCATAATAATTTGATAATATCCGTAATGAACTTACTGTATATTCACTCAAAGAAACACTCTGTTTGAATATGAACCTTGGGAAACCATATTTTTAAGACGGAAACTTTATGAAAACATAATTCACTTGGAAATAAGTATATGATATATTGTATTGCACTTAGATATTTACTTCACAATACTGTCCAGATGATAACATTTTGTTCTTTTTAAATACAGTCAATCTGTTAGTCATCTAGATAATTAATGGTTTGCATAAAAGTTATCTGCTGATGAAATGGGTGATTATAAATTCAAGTAGTTGGATGATAAAATCATCATCAATAGATGATAAAGTTTGTCAGGTCATTTGATAACTGTCATAAGACAAAATATTCACTCTTAATTCACTGAATAGCATATGAGATGTTACATTTATTAATCATAAAATTGGTAGGTGGTCAGAAATATACATATTAAACGACTGAGTTATAAAGATTCCTATGTATTTTCACATTTCCTCTACCGTGGTCTCTATAAACTGAAAAAGTACGAATAAGGTATTATCAAACTCCGCCTGGAGTCCCTTTCCGGGGGCTACTGCCGGTCCCAAGCCCGGATAAAGGAGGAGGGTTGGGCATGGGGTTAGCGACCCCATCCCGTAGAAAACTAACTCGCTAAAAAAACGCTAACCAGAAAAAATTATTCAAACCATTTAAACTCTGCCCTGGGAGTCAGGAGGTCTTCGTTTAGAAGAATTATGACGCCTCATGATGAAAGCCGAGTTTCTTCGGAAGTCACGAGGCCGATGCCCCTTCTGACAACCAGAGCAACCATTTATTTAGGTACATGGAATGCTCGCACAATGTGGGAGACTGGGAGAGTTTTCCAAATTGCTGCAGAAATGAGGAGATACAATTTAGAGGTGCTTGGGATCAGTGAAACACATTGGACGCAAGTTGGACAACAACGACTAGCTTCAGGGGAGCTGCTGTTATACTCCGGACATGAACAAGAAAATGCCCCACATACACAAGGAGTTGCATTGATGCTGTCCAAACAAGCACAAAATGCACTTATAGGATGGGAATCTCATGGACCAAGGATCATCAAAGCCTCCTTCAAAACAAAGAAAACGGGGATTACAATGAACGTCATCCAATGCTACGCGCCTACCAATGACTACAATGAAGACGCTAAAGATCAATTCTACGATAGGCTGCAGTCAATCGTCGAGAAGTGCCCAACAAAAGACCTGACTATTCTGATGGGAGACCTAAATGCCAAGGTTGGAATTGACAACACCGGATATGAAGAGATCATGGGACGACACGGACTGGGAGAAAGGAACGAAAATGGTGAGAGATTTGCAAATCTATGTGCCTTCAATAAACTGGTCATAGGCGGGACTATATTCCCACACAAACGCATACACAAAACCACATGGACTTCACCGGATCACAGCACACAGAACCAAATCGACCATATCTGCATCAACAAAAAGTTCAGGAGGACGATGGAGGACGTGAGAACAAAGAGAGGAGCTGATATAGCATCAGATCATCACTTGCTGGTCGCCAAGATGAAATTGAAACTCAAGAGGCACTGGACAACGGGGAGGACAATATCACAAAAGTTTAATACGGCTCTTCTTCGGGATAATGACAAACTCAATAAATTCAAGATAACCCTCAGCAATAAGTTCCAGGCCTTTCATGATCTACTCAATGGAGAAGGAACTACTATGGAGAGCAACTGGAAAGAGATAAAAGAGTCAATCACTTCAACATGTCATGAGGTTCTGGGCCAAAAGAAGCACCATCACAAGGATTGGATCACGATCGATACACTGGATAAGATTCAAGAAAGGAGGAACAAGAAAGTAGCAATCAATACCAGTCGAACAAGAGCAGAAAAAGTCAAGGCACAAGCTGAATACACAGAAGTAAACAAGCAAGTGAAAAGGAGCATCAGAACCGACAAACGTAAATATGTGGAAGATTTGGCAATGACGGCGGAAAAGGCTGCCAGAGAAGGAAACATGAGACAACTGTATGAAACAACAAAGAAACTCTCCGGAAATCACCGTAAACCAGAACGACCAGTGAAAAGCAAGGAAGGCAAGGTAATCACCAACATTGAAGAACAACGAAACAGGTGGGTAGAACACTTCAAAGAACTCTTGAATCGACCAGCCCCACTGAACCCACCCAACATCGAAGCAGCACTCACGGACCTCCCAATTGATGTTGGCGCACCGACAATTGAAGAAATCAGCATGGCTATCAGACAAATCAAGAGTGGCAAAGCAGCAGGACTAGACAGCATTCCAGCAGAGGCACTGAAAGCAGACGTAGCGGCAACTGCAAGGATACTCCAAACTCTCTTCAAAAAGATCTGGGATGAGGAACAGGTACCAAAAGACTGGAAAGAAGGACTTCTAGTCAAAATACCAAAGAAAGGCGATCTCAGCAACTGTGACAACTACAGGGGAATCACTCTTCTTTCAATACCGGGAAAAGTCTTCAACAGGGTATTGTTAAACAGGATGAAGGACTCCGTAGACGCCCAACTTCGAGACCAACAGGCAGGATTCCGTAAGGATAGATCGTGCACAGACCAAATCGCAACTCTACGGATCATTGTGGAACAATCAATTGAATGGAATTCATCACTCTATATCAACTTCATCGACTACGAAAAAGCATTTGATGGCGTGGACAGAACAACCCTATGGAAGCTTCTTCGACACTACGGCGTGCCTCAGAAGATAGTCAATATCATACAGAATTCCTATGATGGATTAAACTGCAAGATCGTTCATGGAGGACAGTTGACAAAGTCGTTCGAAGTAAAGACCGGTGTCAGGCAAGGTTGCTTACTCTCACCCTTTCTCTTTCTCCTGGTGATCGACTGGATCATGAAGACATCAACATCTGAAGGGAAGCACGGGATACAGTGGATAGCTAGGATGCAATTGGATGATCTAGACTTCGCAGATGATCTGGCTCTTTTATCGCACACACAACAACAAATGCAGGAGAAGACAACCAGTGTAGCTGCAGCCTCAGCAGCAATAGGTCTCAATATACACAAAGGGAAAAGCAAGATTCTTCGATACAACACAACATGTACCAATCCAATCACAATTGACGGAGAAGCTTTGGAGGATGTAAAAACCTTTACATATTTGGGCAGTATCATCGATGAACACGGTGGATCTGATGCAGATGTGAAGGCACGGATTGGCAAAGCAAGAGCAGCATATTTACAACTGAAGAATATCTGGGACTCAAAACAATTAGCAACCAACACCAAAGTCAGAATTTTCAATACAAATGTCAAGACAGTTCTACTGTATGGCGCGGAAACCTGGAGAACTACGAAATCCATCGTCCAAAAGATACAGGTGTTTATTAACAGTTGTCTACGCAAAATACTTCGGATCCGTTGGCCGGACACTATTAGCAACAACCTACTGTGGGAGAGAACAAATCAGATCCCAGTGGAGGAAGAAATCAGGAAGAAGCGCTGGAAGTGGATAGGACACACATTGAGGAAAGCACCGAACTGCGTCACAAGACAAGCCCTCATATGGAACCCTCAAGGTCGAAGGAAGAGAGGAAGACCAAAGAATACATTACGCCGAGAAATGGAGATAGATATGAGAAAAATGAACAAGAATTGGATGGAACTAGAAAAGAAGGCCCAGGACAGAGTGGGTTGGAGAATGCTGGTCGGCGGCCTATGCTCCATTGGGAGTAACAGGCGTAAGTAAGTAAGTAAGTAAGGTATTATCAGTATTATTTTTCCTTTTGAGGTTGTGGAGATTATTGAATTTAATTCAAATGTTAGACCACCATTGAAAATATGGAAGCACTGAATGACCATTTCGTCTTCGTATGGGACTCCACAGCACTGTGCATCCACGAATCCATACTCGAGACTCAAACCCAAGACCTCTGGTTTCACATCTTCGCTAAACCTCAAGACATAAACACCATTGGATACTGACTAGGTAATCAGCGAGACCGAAGGTCTTGGGTCTGAATCTCGAGTGTGGGATCGTGGATGAGTACTGCGGGTGAATCCCACACTAGGACAAAACGGCCGTCCAGTGCCTCCAGGTTTTTAGTGATGGTCTAACATTGATCGATTCATGATTTCGATGAAATATTATTTTTGGCCAATCTTACTACTTTTAAACTTTTGTAAGTAACCAAAGTCTAATCTTATACTGTTTTCAAATTGCATCAGACAAAAAGTATAAATTCTAAAAATATAGACTTATAGTTTACAACTATTCTCTAGATAGAGAGTCTTACATGACAAGAAGTACGTTTTCTTCATCGAATTTTACGAAAATGAATCTCGTCTCTAGTTTGGTATGAACTGCAAAATTATTGAGAAAAAACTAAAGAGGACTGAAAAGCTAGTTTCTTTTAGATTACTTTAATTTCTCAGCTGTATTGACCCGTAAGCTTTGCGAACGGTAGAGTATTTATCAATCTTTTATATCAATCTTGAAAAACAGTTCACGTTTCAAACGTGAATTAATTATTCATATTGAATGAAAGTCATATTTTTCTCAGTCTATCTTAATTTTGATAGACAGTTTGGTTAAAACCTATTTTATTAAGATAAATGTGTGCTTGGTACTTCAAGTGAATGAAAGAATGTAAGATAAAAAACTGGAATTATTACAACCTAGGAAAATGTGTAAAATTAAAGTCAAATTAGAACAAAAATCATTCTTTCTTGTATGCATCATTTTAACATGAATAATTAAGGAGACATTTTATATTGTTTCACAGCTTAAGTTTAATAAGCATATATATGCAACAATTAGGAATATTAAGCAGAGTTGGATAGTGAGATCTACTTAAAACTAGTCAACCAGATATCTTTAAGCCCGTGTTGATGTTCACACAGGGACCTGTATCCAGTTATTCCCACTTTAAACTCCAAATATTGAATTTCGCCAGCCATTGGCTTGTGCAACAGCAATGAATTTTTAGTTAGTTAACAAGGGTGTTTTAATCTTCCCGTCATTGATATTAAGAACTGCAAATGATCAGTCCCTCTTGGCATAAGTGCATGCTAAGAGGATTGTCTCAACACTGTCATTAAGTCATAAAGATTTTAAGAAGAGTTAGCAATTGTTTAAAAGAAAACAATAAAGAGACATGACGAATGTTTTTAGGTAAAATTGAAACAACGTTACCATTGTGATATAATTCTAATGAACAATCTCTTATATGAATAAAAAGTGATAAACTTGTGTTTTTGTAATAAATAAATAATGTAACGCCTTCTTGAAATCATGATCATAGTGATACTATATGTGCTCATGGAAATCTTGTAATCTATGTGTCGTTTTCTTTGAGTTTTATTTATTTATGCCATACCATACTTAATGGGCAATACAACATAGTTCAATGTTAATGGGAAGGTATTGTTCAAAATATTGATATTTCTGATTGCGCTGAGTTTCATATTGATTACTAATTAATAGGTGATTCCCTATAATAAGTGATTGATGCTGAAGAGACAGATATTATACCAAATATCATATGGAAATTACTTCAGATTTTGATGAATGTCGAACTGAATATAGAATCGTAATAATTTTCTAGGACAACCATAAATTTAATAGTATATTTATCAGTCAGTTTATGGGTTGTATCATAATCCTTATGGGTTATAGATAATACATGTTGTTTATTCGGCTGACGAGTCCCAACTAAGGTGAAACGCGCATCCTAGACTTCACTGCTAGCCACCACACATCTATGTTTAAAATGCTTGAGGCACATTTTCGGTTTTTATTTTTCATCGTTATGTAGCAAAAATAACTCTTGTATCTAATAAACTCTGTATATTATGTATTCAAGTTCATTACTTATATTCAACGTATGCAGAGACTGATGAATTTTATAGTCTACATCATCATCATCATCATTATCATCATCATCATCATCATCATCATCATCATCATCATCATCATCATCATCATCATCATCATCATCATCATCATCATCATCATCATCATCATCATCATCATCATCATCATCATCATCATCATCATCATCATCATCATCATCATCATCATCATCATCATCATCATCATCATCATCATCATCATCATCATCATCATCATCATCATCATCATCATCAATACTTACTGTTATTCTTGTTTCCATGCGTTTTAGACGTGAAGCTTCAAGTGTTTTTATTCATAATGATTGTGTATACGTATGCGGTGGAGCTAATGAAACTGGTTGTGTAAATACCACAGATATTTTTTCGTTGAAATCTACAAGTTGGAGTAAAGGCAAACCAATGATTTTACATCGGGCATTTGCTGGTAATATATTTTTACTGTCAATTAATATTAATCTAATATCCCAATGCATAAAATACAATTTGTTCTTTAAAAACGCATTAGTTTTACACTAAAAAATAACGCTCAACAGTAACTAATTCTAAGAGTACTAGGTTTTTTGGTCGTTGTACTGAAATCAAAAATCTTTTATAGCATATTATTATTTATATTTATTGTCCAGAAAAACATTCCTAATTTATATTATACCTTGTTCAGTTTGAAAGTCATCGGATGAAACCGAGTGATTTAAACTCGATTCATTTTAATCATTTACAATTAATTTTAATCGAATTATCGAATAAACTGTTTCTTATGTAATAACGATTGATCGGCAAATAAGCCTGATATAGATTGTTTTATTATATAAACTGAATCAGAAATAGTTTTTAATGAGGAAAATCATAAAATGAAGAATTTTATAAAATGTACTGATTAGCTATGGGTAACCTGGTTATTCAAAACATTAATGTTTAATCTTTCATATGTATTAATATAGTTTGAAGCTTCACAGTGAACATTTCCCATTGAAGATAACAGACTGATCTGAGTTGAAGAACCATTGAAAATCGAGGTGAAATGGGAGAGACGTTTCGTTCAAACTTGTTACTGATGATCAGCATGTGCTTATGACCTTGAACGATTTTGTGCTAAGTTTATCTCCAAAATAGGGAATATTAACAACAAGCAGATTTAAAAAACTTACCTTTCTACTTTTGAAGAGAGATTCTTTGAAAAAAGCCTCAAATTGGATTTATCACCGTTTACTTTAACAAATTAATCATAAACGACAGACAGTTAAGTTTATATCAATAATTAGTATTCTGTCTACAAGGTTTCTTAATTTCTCTAATTCCAAAAAATAAAATAAAATGATGGAGAAGATTTGTAGCTCAGGTGGATGATTTCGATGAAGTTTTTTTCTCTGATCTAGATGGTTTGGTCGTGGAGCTTCAGGTAAAAGCCTGAAGTTTGTGCTGATAATGTCGTTCAGAAAAACAATCAAAGCTCCACGTTCAAACCATCCAGATCAGAGAACAAAACTTCATCAATAAAATTAAAACTTAACGATTTATACTGAATGTTTTCTTTTCCATTGAACAATTAGCTACACGTATATGGAATGAATATGTCTTTTTAATTGGTGGTCGTAACAATATGGAACCATCAAATTTAATTCAAACTTACAATTTAAAAACAAATGAATGGGCCGTATTACCACAAACATTACCATATCTTGTTTCAAATTGTTGTGCTATAACTACAAGTTTATTATAAACCATAAATTTTTTGGAATGTATAAAGTTCATAAAATAAACTGAAACTTTATTGTTAATGTGTAATTTTGTATTTAAAAAAACGAAAAAAATCTGTATTCATTTATTGCAAGGAAAATATCTAGTCGTAATATGATTTTAAATAATTAATGTGGTTACACATTACCCATACTAAATGGGGGCGTTTCATCAGTATCATATAGTAATGTGTATCGATTTCCATTATGTCATATGATTGGCTGACTAACAAATATGTAATGAAAAAGAAATAATTTCATGCTAAATTATTGATACTTCATAGACAGCTGAAGGACATAATGATTGAACGTCCAATTAATTAGAAATGTTTGGAGTGGCTACAAATCACTATCTGTTAGACCGTCTTAGAATGATTGATGTATATTGTCGACTAATATCAGTGATTAAAATAATGTATTTCATGTGTATATGATAAAGCTTGTAATGATTGGTACTATGTCAAGCACATATAGGTTATTTTAGCTTCTGAACAGGTCAATTTATTCATTCTTCTCAAGCCATATTCTGACATTGTCAGTTATTTACTTATTAACCTTGACTTCTTATATGGTTGTATGTGGTGTTAATTGCTAACCCTATTCATTACGTGTTTGTAACTTATTTTTGTCTGAATATAAATATTGAGCCACGCTTGATCAAAACGAGTTGGTTCATTCTCATTCTCTGATTGTCTTTCTGTATCAGTCAGTGTATGACGTATACACGTATTAGAAGTTCATTCTCGTATTTGAATTATTTAATTCCATTATTAACCAACGTGATTTAAGTAGATGATTATATACAAAGGTAGCCGGGATGTATATTTTAATAGTAATCATCATTTGATATAACTGGGGTCAGATATCGGGCCATTAAATGTTATATTAAAAGATTGTTTTTATTATTCCAGTTGTAACGGATGTAGATAATCTACTACGCACTGATTTGACCACCTTAAATGAGACATTTTTGTCTCCCTAGGTAATGTGCTCTTATAAAAACTTCAGTGAGTACCTTGGAGTTGTTAAAGTCTTACACAAGCCTTACATAGATAAAAGATATTTTAAAAGTATCATTGTGCAGTTTACAATGTTTACTAAACTGCATTCATTGTTTAGGTTCTCGAAATCAATCCAACAGAAAATTACCTCCAAACTTTATTCAAATCATCAAGGCTATACAAGGCTCTTGAACTAGTCAACAGAGGAAGTTTCTTTCTAACATTCGTTACTTTCATGATTTAATCAAACATGAACATACTGCCTGAAACGTCTAATATATTCACCATTTGGTGTTTTAGTTATTGGTATATTCAATAAAATCTGTACATTAATATTCAACCAGTTAGTTTGCCTAGGTAAAAATTATGTCCTTCATCAGGAAATGCCTTTTACTGACAAACTACATTTATATGCATGGACTAAAATTCGACTAAAAGAGTCTAAAGACGACTCCATTTTAGAACTCATATCACTTAATAGGTCACAGATACTGTCTATTTCGCTCCATATATTACCTATGCAAATGGATCTTTATGTGGAACTCATTAGTAAACTAGATACTGAGCCATTCAGCGGCATGTGTGGTGTAAGTACGACCCTAATATGGTCGGTTGCAAAGGTAGTTTAACTGGCATGGCGTATAGGTTATAACATAGTTGTTTATACTCAAAGTATCAGGGCTCTTCCGGCTCGTTTTTCGATAGGCCATCCATTTTAACATTAATGGTAATCCTAATGCCTATATATACGTTATGTACCAGGACTAAACAATAATAACTATATACCATTATATCAGATGCCATATTTATTGTAACGCAAAGATCAAACGTACCGCTTATTAATCAATATCTTATCATCCATTAATTATCATTGAAAAAACAAATTAACTATTTTAAAGCTTTTTTTATATTCAAATAAGTAACGATAAATATTGTTTAACTAATCTCTCCCAAAGGCGTAATATTTTTAGACAAATAAATTTTTTTTTGGTTTACTTAAACACTTGTTTTTATATAATAATATCACTAAGTAATGTATCCACTTAATATAAACGAAGTATGCCAATAATTTTGTCCATTATTATAGAGATAAATCATAAATAATATTAATATTACTTAAGATTGAATTTATAATCAATGATGAATGGGAAGTACAGAAGTGGTTGTAATTATGCATGGACAATAATAAACATTAGACTATGTCAAGACTGTAATTAATTTTGATGGAGATTTGTTCTCTGAGCTGGATGATTTGGTCGTGGAGCATTCATCGTTCTTCTGAACGATATCATCAGCACAAACTTCAGATAGAAGTGAAGTGTTCGAATTTCTCCACGACCAAATCATCCAGCTCAGAGAACAAATCTCCATCAAAATCATCCACCTGAGCTACAAATCTTCTCCACTGTAATTAATGGACGAACCAATCAAGTACATGACAAAAGATCTCGGATTTTGGCTCGAGAAATTCATTCTTCCATTCGGATAAATCGAATTTTGGCATTATAGTGATATCAGTTCGTGATGAAGATCCTAAATATAATTTCTAACCTTAACCATCAACTGTAAATCATAATTCTAATTCCTCACACTGGTTTATAACCGCCATTTGGTCCTACTTATTAGGTGGACACTCTCAAGGTCAATTCAGCGTCGCTCAAAGGTCATCCATAAATTATAGTCTCACCTAAACTATAGTAGATTTGTATAAAGTATAATTTTTCACTTAGTCAAAATAATTATTGATAAATAACAAACTAGAGAAACTAATCTGAAATAAAAAATTACTTATTCTAGAGAAGTTTTGTTTTTCATGTTTTAAAAAAGAGGTTTATTTTCTCCCCTTAAAGTACATTATCGGATAAATCCTTAGCAATATAAAAGAAATAGGCGGTGTGTTAAACTGAATTATTTTTATGGACTATTGTGTATATTTACATATAAGTTTATTAATGTTTAGTAGCACTTATTTGTTTACATGGCTTAAATAACTTATCACTTGACTTTTTTCTTTTCGTTATCAAAAAAAAGATTTATGTTTTGTTTTGTAATAAGGTATGAAAGCATTTGATGTATAAAATTTAAGGGTAATAACGTTCGGTATTGATCTTTGAGGGATGATTCTAAAATACGTATTATTGAACTGATTAATGAGAAGTTGAGTAGTAACAGTTATTGAATAGGTATCGACTTGATCCAAGTTAGAAATGTATACCGTTTTATGGTAACTTAATGATCACAAAATTAGGCACTCATCATGAGGCCCAAGTGTCCTTGATAGAGTTTCTTGTTGTGCACTGCTGAATCCTGTACTAAAAAGAAACAACTATCCAGTGTTTCGTAGTTTTCAATGATACATATATTTTTATGGAGTTTTGTTCTCTGAACTATGGCTTTCATCGTTCTCCTGAACGACATCATCAGCACAAACTTCTATCCAGCTCAGAGAAAAAACTCCATAAAAATCATCCACCTGAGCTACAAATCTTCTCCACCATCTCAAGATACACATATCAGATATCAGTATGAAGGTTACAATTTATCATTAAATGCATAACATTAATCATTTTATTATCTATATTGTGTTCATTACAATCCTATTGAGGAGTCCCACAATAGGACGAAATGGACGTCCAGTGCTTCCAGGTTTTCCATGGTGGTCTAGCTTTAACTGACTCATGATCTTAATGATTGAATTCACTACAATCTCCACAAAACCCCTTCTGATATACATCTGTTTCAAAATGATAATAATTACAGTAATAGTGATTATAAAATTCTATTGAACATGGTAACAGTGAGGTAGAATAAACAAAAGTAATATAACGTTCTTTTTACCAACGAAACCAATAATAATTTTGTTGTTTAGTGCTTGAATATTATCATGAAGATAAATAAGGAAATTGTAACTGAGAAGGGAAGGCTCAGTATGACAAGATAAACTTGAAATTGTGATGAATTGTAATCAGGAGAATTATTGAAACAGAAATAACCTAGTTGGGAATAAAACGTCTATAGAGAAGATAGAAGGGAAAGTAGCTGGTTGTGAAGTAAGAAACGTATGAAGAAGAAAGAAAATTATGAAATATTAAAACTATGGTAGAAGAAGAGGTTGTACCAATGTATATTTGAGTTGATTAGATTTCAGGTACAATAATCAGTATTGTAATTTGAGATATGTGCCTGTCGACAAGAAACTTACGATCATAGCGCAGAAATAATTAACAATTCTAGTTTACTTTGGATAAAGTATATAGTCGTTCCATTGTACAACTAAGAAAATCGATACCACTCTCCATCTCAATGTCTATAACAACCTGTAGTATCATATGAGGTTCAAATACAATTGATGTAAAAATTTTTAAATATTTCACAACAACTAAACCGTCTGACAGTTTTTTTATTGGAACAAAATTATAATGTGGATAGGTAAACTTAGGCATCCATTCCAAACAATTTAGTTTAGATGGATTTCAATTGATGAGACTGCAACAATGCACTGTTGGCAGCGAGTTAACGAATTATGACAGGTAATAGTGTCGTCTTAATTACATAAGCACACATTTTGAAAGACAAGCTAAACAATCACTTATTATTCAGTGTTTATATTCATACCCTTAAATTTTTATCAATAAGCTTATGGAATCACAATAACCTTGGCAATTATGTCAGTCGATGCAGAATGAAATGAAATATGTAAACAGCATAGATATTAAGGTAAATTGTTTTAGATGTGGATGACCTTATTGTCACGGTTTTTTGAGATTCCTGATCTTTGTTGATGATAATTTACACCCGTATCTGTGTTATTTAAATGTTCTATTTTCTTCATTGTCAACTCTATCATATCCGTAAATTGAGATCTAATCTGCAATTAAATCAAGTTATTTATTTATTTCTTATTTAAAGTAATAGATTGTCTCTTCTGAGTGTGAAATTCAATTTCCTTATACCATTGTCTTCCTTAACCTCAGACCAACAGG